CCCGCTCGCTCCAGGACAGACCCCTCAGATCTGACAAAGACAGAACACAAACGTTGCTCTTCATTAAATTACTAATATTATCAGTAGTACATTCAATTTTTTATCCATTCACAGACATGCATGAGCTCGGCTTTAAACAGCACTTAGAAAAACACAATTATTTCCATCCTACCCAAGCGTTAAGTGTCCGAAATACTAAAATAAAGGGTAACGCTTTATTTTAAGGTGTCCTTGTTACATATCACATGTACTCACTATTATAATAACAATAAATTATGCATAATTATTAACCCTAAACCAAACCCTCATCCTAATCCTAACCCTATAGTAAGTACATGTAGTTAATTAATATTACTCAGTACTTAAATGTATACATTTAAGGACACCTTAAAATAAAGTGTTACCAAATAAAAGTTAATCTCTTGCTTTTTTTAAAAAGTATTAAACCACTGATTCATGGGCTAACACTTTATTTTAAGGTGTCCTTGTTACACATGTTACATGTACTTACTATTATAACAATTAATGATGCCTAATTACATGCAGGTAACCAGAAACCAAAACCTAATAGTTACATGTACTTACTATTATAATAATGATTAATTATGCATAATTACATGCAAGTAACCTTAAGCCAAACCCTAACCCTAACCATATAGTAAGTACATGTAGGTAATTAATATTACTCAGTACTTATATGTATAATCACACTGTAACAAGCACACCTTAAAATAAAGTGTAACCATTATCATCAGGAATCATAGTTCCTGCCATGTTTATTACAGTTGTTGTTATGAAAATAACACTTAGGGTCACACTTTATTTTAAGGTGTCCTTGTTACAGTGTAATTATGCATTTACGTACTGAGTAATATTATTTAACTACATGCAACGTACTTACAATATGGTTAGGGTTTGTGTGTGTGTGTGTGTGTCTCTCTCTCTGTGTGTGTGTGTAAAAAGCGTCACTAAACTGAGGTAAAGTGGTAAACTAAACGAGAGAGGTTCCTGGCAGGCCCAGGAGGCCACGCGCGAGCCAAACCCACCACGCGAAACTTTTATTATTATTATTATTATTTTGCTCTGCTCATAAAGCGACCCTGGTTTAAATATGTGACATTTGCTGCAAAGGAAACCCGCCGCAACCGTACAACACTGCCGAGGAGATTAAACGGGAGAGATACCTTTTGTAGAGAAATCAACGAACCCCTCGAATTCAGCAGATTTCATTACCAATCCCCTCACTAGACAATGAAATCAAAACGTCCGATCATCAATTCTAATCATGATCGTGACGTCAGAGGTGACACGAGCCAATGGAAGTGCAGGATCATCGTTATGACGCGTCAGCCCCGCCCACCGCCGCTAGAGGTTTCAGAAGAAACACCACTGATGCTGATGAAGATGAAGATGCTGATGAAGACGATGATGATGAAGATGATGATTATTACAAGTCAGAGGAGACGAGAATACATATCTGAGAAAACTGCTGTAACATAGTAATGAAAAGTAATAAAGGCCTGAAGCTGAGGCCTGAAGACAGAATGGAAAAATTGAAAGAAAAAAAAAAGTAAAAATAATAATTCTACATAAAAGTAACATACTGTAAATACATCCATGTAAAATAAACGAGGAAAATATCCATGCGTATTTAAGTGTATTTCTTGGCGTTGACATTTTTGTCTTATATTTTTTTATGTTATCAGGAATTCCAGGAAATCAACATTTAAATGATTCAACCTCTGCATTTTTTTCTCATTTTATTTAAAATAGTTTAATTATAGTTATGATGTGCTTCTTAATTATTGTTAAAGGTGGAAAACTTTGTTAATGAACATTTCCCTAATTTAACATATGTTTTGTGGCGTTTAAAACATAGTGGAAGTGATAGCATTAAACTAGTTTAAATCTAGTTTTCCAAGTTTTGATATAAATGTCTGAATAAAAATCCAGTAAATGAGCATTACAGATAATATCATGTTTTGTCACAAAAATGAATGAAATGACTTTTTAAGCTACAAATGTGGAAGACTTGTGGTGAAAAGCAGCTGCTAGCAAGCTTTTTTTCCTCAGGGCCACTGGATGATAACTATTCACAGGAAAAAGTGCATTTCTGTCTGTTTAGTGAAGATATTGATTCTTTACAGATTTAAAGAAACTGAATTGTATCTTTATATTATAATTCACTGCAAATTTTAACCAAGAAAAAATTACATGAATTATGATATTTTATAAAATGTAAACACTTTAGTTTTGATTACAAAGCCAGACAAATGAACTGCTGATCAAAGAGTAATTGAACTGAACTCACAAACTGACAAAGGAGATCAATATAACAATATTATATTATTATATAATAATATAACATTATTATATATAACATTTAGAATATAACAAACATTTAGAGCAATTTTAGTGTCATTTAGGCACTCAACATTTTCTATATGCTTTCTAGTTTGTTCAAGAACAACACAATATCAACACATTTTAAGTTAACATATCTCAACGTTAATAATCGCCCTCTTTATTCTAATTTGAAAGGCTTGGAAGTGAAGTGAAGTGTGGCCAAGAGTAGAGAAGAGACAGAATCCACACTCATACCTGATTACTTCTTTATTTTACTGCCATCTCCAGCCATTCTTTAATGAAGTCTCACACGGCATTTATCTGCTCTTGGGGGCTGCTCAAACAAAACAGTCAGTAATACAGTAAAACCAAATAAGGAAATTACACACAATAGCACAAATACAATAGAAAAAAAACTAAATAGACTTTTTTCATGTAAGTCTATCTAACAACACATTATACAGTCTACTACGGAAATTGTAATCAAATGTAAAAATGGAATATTGCATTGTTTTACTGTATAAATTAAATATAAAACCTGTCCTTTGTTTGTTGAGACTATTCCTTCATTGGAGATTGGATTTCTCTCCTCCATTATTCATTCATGGGGAAGTCGTGGCCTAATGGTTAGAGACTCGGACTTGTAACCCAAAGGTTGTGGGTTACAAGTCCGCCACATTCATGTTAACGTGCTAAAATTTGGTGCCAGTGTTTACGATGTACTTAAGGGATTACATTCATTCATCCATTCATTCATTCATTCATTCATTCGCTCATTCATTCATTCATTCATTCATTCGCTCATTCATTCATTCATTCATTCGCTCATTCATTCATTCATTCATTCGCTCATTCATTCATTCATTCATTCGCTCATTCATTCATTCATTCATTCGCTCATTCATTCATTCATTCATTCGCTCATTCATTCATTCATTCATTCGCTCATTCATTCATTCATTCATTCGCTCATTCATTCATTCATTCATTCGCTCATTCATTCATTCATTCATTCGCTCATTCATTCATTCATTCATTCATTCGCTCATTCATTCATTCATTCATTCATTCGCTCATTCATTCATTCATTCATTCATTCGCTCATTCATTCATTCATTAATTCACTCATTCATTCATTCATTCACTCACTCATTCATTCGCTCATTCATTCATTCATTCATTCATTCGCTCATTCATTCATTCATTCATTCATTCGCTCATTCATTCATTCATTCATTCATTCGCTCATTCATTCATTCATTCATTCGCTCATTCATTCATTCATTCATTCACTCGTTCATTCATTCATTCATTCATTCATTCATTCATTCATTCAGTCAGTCGCTCATACATTCACTCATTCATTCATTCACTCATTCATTCATTAATTAATTAATTAATTCATTCATTCATTCAGTCGCTCATTCATTCATTCATTCATTCGCTCATTCATTCATTCGCTCATTCATTCATTCATTCAGTCGCTTATTCATTCACTCATTCATTCATTCACTCATTCATTCATTCATTCATTCACTCATTCCTGTGTGTGTGCACTTAGGATGGGTTAAATGCAGAGCACTAATTCCTAGTATGGGTCACCGTACTTGGCTACATGTCACGTCACTTTCTTTCACTTTTCATTCATTCAATCAATCATTCGCTCATTCATTCATTCATTCATTCACTCGCTCATTCATTCATTCATTCATTCATTCGCTCATTGATTCATTCATTCAGTCGCTTATTCATTCATTCATTCATTCATTCAGTCGCTCATTCATTAATTAATTCATTCATTCACTCACTCATTCATTCGCTCATTCATTCGCTCATTCATTCAGTCGCTTATTCATTCGCTCATTCATTCATTCATTCAGTCAGTCCCTCATTCATTCACTCATTCATTTATTCACTCATTCATTCAGTCGCTCATTCATTCATTCATTCATTCATTCGATCATTCATTCATTCATTCGCTCATTCATTCATTCATTCATTCATTCAGTCGCTTATTCATTCATTCATTCATTCATTCATTTGCTCATTAATTAATTAATTAATTCATTCATTCATTCATTCAGTCAGTCTCTCATTCATTCAGTTTTTGAGGGATATCGTTTTTTACGGTTGTTAAAAACAGCTGTTTTTTCATGTATGTCATAATCAATGAAGAATCTGCTTAACAAAAACAGACAAAAAAGAAGTCCAGTAACATCTTACAGTTGCATTATTGTTAAGTGCTTTTGGGGCAGAATGTATGAAGAGTTAGTTACAAAGAATGCAACACCTGCTTTTGATTACCACATTATTATTTTTAGTGTTTTCATGCAAAACAAAGTTTCATTTTATTTATTTTTTTATTCGATTTATTAAATTTGCTACAAGATTAGAGCTATTTAAAAATGATATACTTAAAACAGCTAAAGAAAAAGAATGCCTTAAACCCTAAATGTGTTCTACATTTTATACTTAGCTTTTTCTTCATTTGTTCTTTTCTTTGCATACAGCGCCATCTAGCGCTGACCTCCGAGTCACATGATGCAGCTTGTGCAAGTCATCGCGAGACTGCGGCGGTCAGTCACGTGCTTTTTGTCACCATATACGAGAACTGTGATATAAACATCGATGGGGAGTTTAATCAGGTATGTGATTATATTCCAGCATTAACCGCATTTACAGCAATCGACTGTTTTTGACTCTTCTGTCGTGTTTAGCATAGAGCTAGTGTAGAGCTAAGCTAACTTCAGCAGAGGAACACCAGGAGCGCTCTTCATCGCTTTATTTGCTATCTGAGATCTGAGAGTCATCATCGGGAAGTGACAAACAAAACAACATCTTACAGACACAGTAACTATCTGTCTTCGAAGTTTATTTGGACGCGTGAGACACACACAAATACACGATTGTCTTCGCGTTGTACAAAGGATCCAACGAAGTACGTTAGCATTAGCATTAGCAATAGCAATAGCATTAGCAAACATGTCACAGGAACGAACTGGTTCGGTTTCACATTAGAAAGCAATACGAGGGCTAAAGTATTCTGCACTGTGTGGACGTCCAGCGTTACAGGAGCATGTGATGATGATGATACACCAAAGTAAACTGATCATATAACGTTACATCATATTGACCTGTCACACCAAAAGCTGGAAGTTAGTTCGAGGAAAACCTCAACAATCTCGTTCATTTTCTAGTCTCTTGTTGTATATGGTACTCAAGTGAAAGAGAATAAAACAATCAGAATGTCTACAGCTCAAATGGATCCGTTTATTCACATAAAGTAGAGTTGGATAATTCAGGTCAGGAGGGACTGAGCTCTAAACTGCATGTGCATTGCAATTATTATAAAGAAATATTACTTTATTGTTAAGGGGACCTATTTAGGAACACACCGTTTAATTGAGACACTTCACACACTAAAGCTGCGAGTGAAAAGAGTGCTGATGTGTTGTGTCTCGTTGCAGTTGTTGATGATCTGCGGAGTACAGTGATTTACTGTGGTAAAGTGAAGTTGAGCGGGAAAATGTCCAGCACAGCCATGAAGAAGAAGGTGAGTTTAACCTCGCTGTAATAGAGCACTGACTGTTGGTGTGCTTCCCTTTGTGTTATACAGCAGTACACACACACACACACGCACACACACTCTCTCACACACACACACACACACACACACACACACTCTCACTCTCACACA